ATAAGCAAAAAGAAAAAAAAAGCCGGAAGTGACACTGTGGCTCAAATGGTAGAGCGCTAGCCTTGAGCTGAAGAGCTGAGGGACAGCGCCCAGACCCAGAGTTCAGGCCCCACGACCGGACCCCCCAAAAAAAAAATTCCTCAGTACCATATACACAGAAAGATCCTAAAGTGATGCTGTGGCTCAAAATGGTAGAGCGCTATCCTTGAGCAAAAAGTTCAAGGACAGTGTCCAGGTTCCGAGTTCAAGGCCCAGGACTAGTAAAAATAAATAAATAAAAGACTGCGAGCTACCAGATGAGACTATTTTACTTGCCTCTGTGCTTACTGTGTAAAAAAAAAAAAAAGCTGAGTGTCCAGCAGCTTGAAAGTTCACCCTTGGAAAGATCTCCTCCTCAAGGGTGATCAAGCCAGGCAGGGAAGGAATTGAAGGGTGGAGAGTAGTGAGACTGTATGAAGGGGAAGAGAGAATTTAAAAACAGGACACGGACACATCTCCAATATAGCCTTTCACGCGTTTTTAAGGCAAGCACTGTTTAGAGGAACCTTCAAGCACCCTCAAGGGTCTGAAGAGAAGACAGGACAACTCAGAACCAAGTAACTTTCCCCAGCCAATTTATTTTTCCCTAACAGCCAAAACTACCTTCGAGTTAATGCTTCCCCAACAAATGCCCACACATCCTGATGTCCTCGCTGCATTCTTAAATTCAGTAGCCAAACTCCAATGCCATCAACTCCGACATCGAAGCAGCGGTGACTTTATGTCTCTGACTCTTGATTCATTTAAGTAGACTTAGAGCCTCAAGTTTACCCACCTCTACAATGGATTCGCAAACCCCGCTAATACAGCAAACGAGGTGGGGGGAGTACTTCCCAGGGACCTAGGCAGGGAGTCCAGAACAGACTGGGGACAGGGGAGAATAAAGGGGAGTTGGCGAGTGAGATATCCGGCTGCCTGCATTACCCCAGGAGAGGAGTGTAGACCTGGAGCTTTAATAGGCTAGCCAAGCTTGGCGTTCCCCCCCGCCCCCCCCCCGCTCCCGTAGTCTGTCCCCTTTAGGCCTCCGTACTCGGTGAGCTCTGCAGTCCGTCTACTCTCTGTAGGTTTTTTTCCTCCTAGGCCCCAAGCGCCCAAGAGTCGTAACCCTCACTCCCGAGCCCCGTGTGCCGCGCACCTGGTCCGAATCCTCGTTCTCGCTGCTGTAGCAGCACCCCATGGCCGGGGTCGGGCCGGGCGCTCAGGCGGCGCCGTGGAGGGACGGTGTCCGTCAGGAGCCCTTCCGGTCACATGACCCGCGGCCGTCGCTCGCCAGCAGACACCCGCTCCCCTCCCCCAGTTTACCCAGTCCCGGAGCCGCAGAGGCGCCGCTGCCAAACCCCGACTTCCGGCCCCGCCTCTAGTCACGTGGACAACACCAACCAATAGAGAAGGTGCACCCTGCGGGCCGCGGCAGAACACGTGATGCGAAGGAAGGGAGGGGCCTATCACATGACTCTCATCTTCCCAGTTGCCTGCTTGTTTTGCAGTACCGGCGGATTGGGTTTATCCCTCCGCACTTGATTCGCACCCTCAGCCCACCTAGTTCCTGAGCGCGAGTTCTCTCCACCATAGTGGCCCTCTTGTGAATTTGTGCGTAGTGATCACACACCTTTTTAGTCCAGTGAGCAGAGCCGTCCCAAATGTTATGACCTGTTCCATACACCACGTGAAGAGCGCGCGCGCACACACACACACACACACACACGACGCCCGCCGGACACACACACACACGCCCGCCGGACACACACACACACACACGCCCGCCGGACACACGGACACACACACACACACGCCCGCCGGACACACACACACACGCCCGCCGGACACACACACACACACGCCCGCCGGACACACACACACGCGCCCGCCGGATGCTCGATGCCTTAGTCCGCGAGTAGATTGGGCCTTCTTCCTTACATAAGCTGAAAAAGCACCACGTCTCGACCTCCTTGCTCACGGGCTTTTGCCTTCAGTCTTGAGTTTTTACAGCAGCCATTGAAATCTAGCACGTAAAGATGCCCATCCAGTCTCTTCCCATATCTCCCTTGTCCATGGACACAGTTCCAAGTTATATATTGTCTGGAAACTCTCTCATTCTATGGCAATGAGGTGGAGTGACACAGGGAAATATGTGACAGTTTTGTGAGTGACATCCTGTACTTTGCACCTGTGGCCTGGGATACTTTCCTCCCCCTTAGTGAGAGCAAGTGTGTTTTGGGGATGTATATGATGTGTAGTTCTCTTTCCCCCCCTCGCCCGCTTCCCCCCCTCCACCACTACACCCCCTCTCCAGTCCTGGGGAAAAGTCTGGGCTTGGGCACTGTCCCTGAGCTTATTTTGCTCAAGGCTAGTACTCTACCACTTGAGCCACAGCACCACTTCGGCTTTTTCTGTTTATGTGGTACTGAGGAATCGAACCCAGGGCTTCATGCATGCCAGGCAAGCACTCTACCCCTGAGCCACATTCCCAGCCCTAATGTGTACTTCTGATTGTCTTCTCTGACCCAATTCTGTATCTCTAATTCTATCTGCTTAATCCTGATATACTACCATTCGCTCAAGTATTAAATCCGTAAGTATTTACTATTACATGCCACCCAATATTCTATCTGAATAGACAGCCACTCAGAAAACTGCAAATAACTTGTATCCACGGAAGCATCTAACCTAGTGATCACAGGACCTATATTCTCTTGTTCCTGGGCCAGTTTCTTCTACCAAACTTGGAGTTCTTGGAGGACAGGAAGACACTAGACTGTTCTGTTACCCAAGCCTTAACACTTGCTTAGAGAAATTTGAATTTTGAATTGAGTAAGTTACAATCTCTCCACTACTATGGCTCAGACTAACCCTTATGCCCTGAACCAAGGGACTGAAGAAGAGACCAGCCCTAGAAGCACTTGTTTCTCATCAAATCGAGATGCTGGGGCTGGGAAGGTAGCTCAGTGGTAGAGCACTTGCCTTGCATGCATGAGGCCCTGGGTTCAATTCCTCAGCACCACATAAGCAAAAAGAAAAAAGCTGGAAGTGGCACTGTGGCTCAAGTGGTAGAGCGCTAGCTTTGAGCTGAAGAGCTGAGGGACAGCGCCCAGGCCCAGAGTTCAGGCCCCACGACCGGACCCAAAAAAAAAAAAACCAAAGCAAAGCAAAAAAAGACTCTGGAGTTCTGTGCATATGTGTGTGTGTGTGTGTGTGTGTGTGTGTGTGTGTGTGTGTGTGGTGGTGTTTTGCCAGTCCTGGACTTGAACACAGGGCTTGGGCACTGTCTCTGAGCTTCTTTTGCTCAAGGCTGCCACTCTACCACTTGAGCCAAAGCACCACTTCTGGCTTTTTCTGTTTATGTTGTACTCAGGAATTGAACCCAGGGCTTCATACGTGCTAGGCAAGCACTCTACCACTATGCCACATTCCCAGTCCAAGAGTTGTTTCGGGGGATTTCTTTTTTAGTTTTTGTCATGGGGGAAAGGTGTTTGTTCTTTTTGTGGTATTGTGGGTTTGAACTCAAGGCCTTGGGCCAAGAGCTCAATTACCCCAGCCCTTCTGTTAAGATTTTTTAAGGGTAGGCAGCAGCTTGAGCTTGTCCCTAGTTCTGGTAACTTGAACTGCAAGTCTCAGGTAACAATAGCAGCTTCAGCATCAATAATTGAAAGCAGATACAGCCTCCTGTCTCAGGGTTATTTCCTTCAAAGACTTCACCTCCTGTCCTGTTCTACCATCTTCCCTAAGCAAGAGTCTGCAGTCCAGGTAAGTAGAGCCCTTGAGCTTCCAGCCAGGTAAGCAGGGTCTTATGGGTCCTTAACATCAGTTCACGTCCACCACCACTCACCTATTCATATCGTAACACTCTCACTCCTTGTTTGTCCTATACCAAGGAGGCCTACCAGGTCACATGAGGGATGGTCTAGGATATGGGAGAGGAGAGGGAAACCATCCCCCTTAGTGAGGGAAGCATGTGGTATGTGGATATGTATGCATATAAATTGAATCATAAAGGAAATTCTGTGAGCACAGGGGAAGAGGGGGATTCAATAGAGGGGATATAGGTCTGGAGAACAAGTACAGAATCAAGAACTCTTTCCACCTACAGGGACAACTCCTGAGGTGGGAAAGATGGTATCCTAAGGCCTATTGTTTTATTTTTGGAGACAGTATATGTAGTTCAGGTTGGCATCAATTTCAAGATCCTCTTCCCTTTGCCTCCAAATACTGGGACTACAGGTGTGCACACCATATCAGGCCTATGTAGGGTGTTTTTGTTGCTTTTTACTGAGATTGAGTATATCAGTGAGGGGTTTCTGACTACACAACGTAGTATGAATAATGGGTCAGAGAAGACCAGTTAGACAGGGACTATGGAGAGGAAATGCCAGGAAAAACTGATGAAAGGAAATATAAAGAAGAGGTGACATTAGGAGAAAAGAGAAAAGCGCTGGGAGAACAATGTGTAGATGGATCCAAAGGCCAATACCCTGCCTAATGTGGACAGTATGGAATCCTAAAAAAGCACATAGGCTGGGCTGGGAATGTGGCTTAGTGGTAGAGTGTGTGCCTAGCATGCATGAAGCCCTGGGTTTGATTCTTCAGTACTTCATACACAGAAAAAGCTGGAAATTGTGTCATGGCTCAAGTGGTAGAGTGGTAGCCTTGAGCAAAAGAAGCTCGCGAACAGTGCCCATGTCCTGAGTTCAAGCCCCAGGGCTGGCAAAAAAAAAAAAAGTACAAAGGCTGGGAATCATCCAATCTAGACTCAAATCCCAGTTGTAGTATGTGACTGCTCAAAAAACAGCCTTTTCTGAACCATGGTTTATAAATAAGAACACAGTAATTTCTACTAATGAAGGCTGCAAAGATGACAGACACTCTGTGCATCACCTCTCTAACAGTTTTTTAAAAAGCAAGGGAAAAAATAGTGGAGGTGGATCTTCCTGTCTCCCTCTACCCCCAGGGTCCAGGTACAGACCATGTCCCCTGCTATTGCACTGGCGTTCCTACCACTGGTGGTGACATTGCTGGTGCGATACCGGCACCACTTCAAGTTGTTGGTGCGCACAGTCTTGCTGAGGAGCTTCAGAGACTGCCTGTCAGGACTGCGGATTGAGGAACGGGCCTTCAGCTATGTGCTCACCCACGCCCTTCCTGGGGACCCTAGCCACATCCTCACTACTCTGGACCACTGGAGCAGCCACTGCGAGTACCTGAGCCACATGGGGCCTGTCAAAGGTCAGTTCCCCCTTCCCTAATCTTCTGCTTCAGGAAGTACTCCTAAGAAGGTAGAGGAAGTTCTGAGATCTGGCTGTGTCTTAGTACTGGATGAATTGTACAGGTTCATGTCCATTTTTATTCTTGTTCTTCCCTGGAAATAAGGGGTCTTGACTAAGTCATTCATTCCCCCAGCAAACATCTATTGCCACCTCTTTTGCATGAGGCAGCTGCTAAGGAAAGGAGGCAGAGGCTACAGAGAAGTGCCAGACAAATGCTGACTTGAGGGAGCACAGAATCTAGGGGAGGGGCTGGGAATGTGGCGTAGTGGTAGAGTGCTTGCCTCTCATGCATGAAGCCCTGGGTTTGATTCCTCAGTACCACATAAACAGAAAAATGCTGAAAGTGGCACTGTGGCTCAAATGGTAGAGCACTAGAGCTTTGAGAAAAAGAAGCTCAGGGACAGTGTCCAGGCCTTGAGTTCAAGCTCCAGGACTGACGAGTGAGAGTAAGAGAGAGAGAGAGAGAGAGAGAGAGCGCCAGGTGCTGGTGGCTCATGCCTGTAATCCTAGCTACTCAGGAGGCTGAGATCTGAAAATCACAGTTCAAAGCCAGCCCAGGAGGAACGAACGTCCATGAGATTCTTATTTCCAATAAACCCCAGAAGTGGTGCAGTGGCTCAAGTGGTAGAGCGTTGTTAGCCTTGAACTGAAGAGCTCAGGGACAGCACCTAAGCTCAGAGGTCAAGCCCCACCACACACACACACACACACACACACACACCCTAGGGGGACACACACACACACACACACACACACACACACACACACCCTAGGGAATAACATAGCTTTTTTAGTAACTACTTGTGTCTAAGTCTTCCTTACCACAGCAATGTCCACACGATTCAGGATAACTATCTACTTAACTATTTATCTCAGTCTCATAGTTTTCAGCACAAGGGCTTTAGCTTTATTTAAACTCATCCAATTCTAAGATCAGGCACATTCAATGAACAGGCCACAGGGAAGAGCTTAGAGCTGTAGCTGGGAAGCTAAGATTTGATCTGGTCCAAGAAGATCCTGAATACCAAGTTCAGTCCCAAATGCCTTTAGGATCATGACAGCTAGCTTGACAGGGTTAAATCTGAGGCAGATTTCTACACTGGACTAGGTCCATGAGAAGCAGGACCCCAGCTCGGTGGGAGCTGTAGGAAGGCAGATAGGAATCTCAAATCACTTTTCATCAAGGGCCCTATATCCATTTCTGTTACAACCCACCTTGTGCCTCTTAACCCGCAGCCGCCAACCAGGAGTGAGGTAGTAATGGAGACCAGACCAGAGCATGGAATTTAGATTTGGGTATCAAGGGACTTGTAGCCTCCTGCCAGCTTCAGAACCCAAGGTTCCATTAACCAAGGTTTTTATTGGTTTCCTATAGGGAAGCATGTGCAGAAAGTAAGATTTAAACGTGTGACAATATTTTATATACAAGTGGTAGGAGAACACTTTTTCTTGTGAATGACAGCTAAGCAGTAAACAGCTTATAATTTGCATAACTCTTAGTCTGCCCTCAAGCTTCCACGCAGTTTAGAGTGGAATTAACCCACATCCAGGATAGACTTGAATTCCTGTTTAGTTAAGACTGACTGACCTTTCCATGAAGCTCTCAGTGTTCTGAGAGTATGGTGGGAGAAGGCTTTACAAACTCCCAATCCTATAGCCGGGCGCTGGTGGCTCATGCCTGTAATCCTAGCTACTCAGGAGGCTGAGATCTGAGGATCAAGGTTCAAAGCCAGCCCGGGCAGGAGAGACTGTGAGACTCCTATCTCCAATAAATCACCAGAAAACCGGAAGTGGCACTGTAGCTCAAGTGGTAGAGCGCTCGTCTTGAGCTGAAGAGCTGAAGGACAGCACCCAGGCCCAGAGTTCAAGCCCCATGGCCGACAAAAAAAAAACAAACTCCCAATCCTTTTGGGTCTCACAGCTTGGCTTTTCAGGCTCTCACACATTTCCTTACCCCACAGGTCAGATCGTGATGAGGCTGGTGGAGGAGAAGGCCCCTGCTCATGTGCTGGAGTTGGGCACCTTCTGTGGTTACTCCACATTGCTTATTGCTCGTGCCCTGCCCCCTGGGAGTCGCCTTCTCACTGTGGAACGTGACCCACGCACGGCAGCAGTGGCTGAAAAACTCATCCGCCTGGCTGGCTTTGATGAGCACATGGTCAGCATCCCCATCTCCCCAACTCTGATCCCTTCTGTCATCCCCAGGCCTTGTCTTAGCCAGACCTTCTTTGTGGGAAACTCCAGTTCCACTTAGGTAACTGTGATCTTGGAGGGTACATGACTTCCTACCTTCCTGCCCCCCAAGTCATTTACACTTCTTTCCTTCTGGATGACAAAACCAGCAGCTAATTGTTTTCAGAATCTTTATTAGTTCCTTGTTAGCTACATGACCTTCAGCTAATGCATGTGCCCTCTGAAGCTCAGCTTCTTTGTGGAAATGGAAATCACAATATTGGTCTGCACATCTTGAGTTCTGGACTTCTTGGGCCTGAGAGGAAAGCATTTCCCTCCCACCCTCACTCCAGCTCTTCTCTCCCTACAGGTAGAGCTCATCACAGGCAGCTCAGAGGAAGTGATCCCCAAACTAAGAGCTCAACACCAGCTGAGCCGGGCAGACCTGGTGCTCCTAGCACATCGGCCTCGATACTACTTGCGGGACCTGCAGCTGCTGGAGGCTCATGCGCTGCTGCCAGCTGGTGCCACTGTGTTGGCTGACCACGTGCTCTTCCCTGGTGCACCCAGATTCCTACAGTATGCTAAGAGCTGTGGCCGCTATCGCTGCCGTCTCCACCATACTGGTCTTCCAGACTTCCCTGCCATTAAGGATGGCATAGCCCAGCTCACCTATGCTGGACCTGGCTGAGGTCCAGGACCAGGGGTATTTTCTGATGCACCCCATCCCCACCCAAGAAAAGACCTCAGAATATCCCTTTCCCTTCCTGTTTGGAAACCAATACAAGCGAGGCTCAGGGCTAAAGAGGTTCTCTTCCCAACTTTGCCCCTTTCAGCCTCCATATGACCTGAAGTGTCAATCTTTTTTTTTTTTTCCCGCCAGTCCTAGGGCTTGAACTCAGGGCCTGGGTACTGTCCCTGAGCTTCTTTTGCTCAAGGCTAGCACTCTACCACTTGAGCAACAGTGCCACTTCTGGCTTTTTCTGTTTATGTGGTACTGAGGAATCAAACCCAGGGCTTCGTGTATGGTAGGCAAGCACTCTACCACTAAGACACATCCCAGCCCTGAGGTATCAATCTTATCAGGCTGTTTAGTCCTCCTAACTTCCTCCTCAAGCCATGGACTGCAAGCAGGATGCTTGAGCTCCCAACCTACCTCTATCAATAATTTGCTTGGTGATACCATAGGAGTCTCCTGCCTTGCTCTGAGATTTAATTTACTATCTTCACATAGGACCCCTAGCTCTAGGCCTTAGAAAGCCTCCCCTCCTCAGCCCATCCATTTTGGGCAGGATCATAGAAAACAGCAGACAATGAAAAAAAAAAAAAAACATGCAGGAATAGCTGGGTAAAAACTGGACCAAAGGAAATGGTACAGGAGCCTAGACTTAGGCTCCCCAACCAGAGTCCACCCGACCCATTAGATTTGCTTGCTCTCCCTTCAACACCACCTACCCAATGCCCAAGGAAGATGTGGATTCCTTGGGACACCATCAACAAATAGGGAATAGACATGGGGGGAAAAAATCAGTCCTGTGTCTTTATTAAAGAGGGCTAATAAGGGGCAAGACCTGGCAACAAAGGGGTGAGGTACTGGCCAGGATGGTAGGGCAGAGTGGGGCTCAGACTCTGGGGATTCAAGAGCAGAATGATGGCCTGGGAGGGGCCAAGGAGACCGAGACCAAGTCCTGGTAGCAGCTGAGGAAGTGACCAAGAGTGAGCCTTCAGGCACCAGGGCCATCAGATGGTTTTGTGGGTTGGAGCTGGAGGTGCACAGTAGGTTAGGCTGGCTTGCAATCTCCCTGAGGCCATCTTGCCTTGCTCTACCTAGATCATCCACTGGTCTTGATCTTGTTCATTGCCTTCCATGTCCACCTGGAGAGGAGGCTGGGTGTGGGTGGGGAGGGGCCTCAGCCAGCCTCAGCTCCAGATCCTGTCCCCAGATGGATCCAGAGTGTCTGTACCTTTTGGCTATCAGGGACAGGGGCACAGGTACACTCCCACCTACCTCATTGACCTCTCCATCATCAGGTGACTCATTATAGTCATTCATCTCATCCATATCCTGCATGTCCTCATCATCCTCCGAATCCTCTTCACTGTCTTCATCATCTTCATCATCCTCCTCTTCCTCATCATCATAGTGCTGATGGGGCAGGAGAGAGCCTGTAGGTGCCTCAGGGCCACCTGGACCACTTTAAGAGCTGTCCCACTTCCAAGGGCCTTCTTCATTCTGACCCTGTCTTCATACGCCCCAGTCTGGCAGGCTGGTAGGTGATCTGTAGGACCTTAGTAAGAGGCCAAATGCCCACTCCCTCCCTTAACCACTACTGTCTGGTCTTCACCCAGACTGGGAACCACAACTGCTCTGAGTCAGAGGCAGAACATTCAGAATTAGACCAGAACTCGGCTCTACCCCAAGTCTCACCAAGGCCCCACTTGCTGGAGCCACTCACCTCTGAGGCTGGCTTGCCAATAGGTACCAGGTTGTTGTCTTTCTCTGCAATGCTTTGGAGCTGTGGGCAAGAGATAGGGGAGAGCAGGACCAAAGCAGAACAGTCAGAAGCATGGAATTGCCTCACTACACCTCCAAGAACAACCATAAGTGTTAGAAACTTTCTCCCAGTTCTCAGGACTAGTTGATTGCTTACTTTCCTATTATCCACTATTTATAAAATTGATTTAACTACATAAACTCTCTGGGCCTTGGTTTCTTCATATAATTATGGTAAGGACGAAATGAGAGATGTAGTTTAGAACACAGCATTTTTTAAGTCCTCAAAAGTAGTTAATCAAGCCCCACGACCGACCAAAAAAAAAAAAAGATGAAAAAAAAAAAAGTAATTACTAATAAACTTGGGCTTTAGGGAAAAGGTCTTGAGCTGAGTGTCAATACTTTACCTAGCCCAGAAGTCCCTAACAAATTAGGATATCACAAAGATGAGAAACACGGCCTCCGAATCACCCCGGCTGACTCCCTGGGCACAACGTTCTTTCAGAATAGGTCTCCAGAGTACAGCTGGGTCATGGGGCACAGTGTGTGTGTGTGTGTGTGTGTGTGTCTGTGCTGTGTTAAATCTTCACTCACCCAGGCCTGATGTTGCTGTTCCTGCTGCTGCAGCTCAGTTTCTTCCACACAGGGTCGATCCAGATTAAACCACAGTGTCTCAGTCACACGGGGGAAGAGTGAGGGGAACAAAGTGGACATGGCTCCTAGACTGAGGGGAAGGATCAAGTGAATGTGTTTGTTTTTATTTGGTTGTAATTTGACTTAGGGATGGGGTGGAGTGGAAGGTAGCAGACAAGCAGTCCTTCCATTTGGCATCAGACAGACCTGGATTTGAGTCCTTGCTCCACCATTTACTAGCTGCTTGACTTTGGCCAAGTCACTTAACCTCTCTGGGCCTCAGTTTCCTCATCTGTAAAATGGGGATAATAAACAATTATACCATCCTCAAAGTTATTCTAATAATTAAGTAAAAAAAATGAATAAAGCTGTAGGCTGCTCAAGGAGGAAAGAGACTGGGAGCCAAGTGTAGAGATGGAATCCAGAATACAGACTGGCATTATAAAGTTACACACAATTAGAGGTAGCAGGGCTCTCCTGAAATTATGTTTATGCCCTCCAAATCCTAAAGTTTACATATTGCTCCTTTGTGATCACCCATACCACATTCATTCAGTGATGAAAAAAAAAAAAGGATATGTTAACCATCTCTTTCATTAACCATGGTCAATTCTGTAGGGGTTGGGGAAGTGAGGTCTGCCCCAAGTACAAGCAGGGTTCAGTAAGACATTTTAGAAGGCATGGCCAAATGGATGATTGAATGGAGGAACTAACATATACGAGAACAAGTAAAATCAGCTTTTGTGGGCGTTAAGTTGCTGACCAAGAGGGTCCCAATCTGTGACCTTCAGCTCAACCGACAGGAAACAGAGAGGTTTTAGATCACACAGTGGATCAGGACTTAGAACTGGCGCAGGGGCGGGATCCAGGCAACGGCACTGGAGAAAGAAGCAAAGCAAGGATCTCTGTCTAGTCCAGGAGCCTAATTCATTTGGTCGACCCAGGACCAGCGGCGGCCGCAAACGGCCAAATCTTCCCAGCCTGGGTAACAGGCGCAATAGCGCCTACCCTCACAACCTCGAGGAAATGACAGGCCGGACAGCTTTCATCCTAAAACCCAACCCACTTCCCTAAAGCCACCGCCTATTCTTTGCTCATTATGATAATGACTGTGAGGTTGACCAACGGGAAGAAGGCGGGGGCGGGACTCGCACAGGAATTTGTCCTTATACAGTTGCTAATCGTGAATGGGCGGGATCTAGATAGAGCCAATTAGATGAAAGAAATGCTGGGTGACAGAAAGTGACACCAATGAATGACGGGTCTTGTGTGATGGGGTGGGGCTTAGTCTCGAGGAAGCGGCCAATGAGCAGGAGCACGTTAAGGGCAAAGGAGTCTTAACATGGAGCTCTAAAGAGGCGAGTCTAAGAAACTAGTTTTCTCTGGGGAAAGGAAAAAAGAAAGGGGAAGGAGATCCCCCCAGCCTTGCTTCTGTACTTACCGCGCCGGGAGGCGGCAGCCGGCGGCGACCCGGAAGCGCTTCACCTGTTCCGAGCGGAAGAACCCACCAGAATCCGGGACCCACCAAACGCATGCGTCCTACGTCTCCTTTTGTTTCCCGCTCCCGCCCACATGACCGGACGTGACGTCAAGTACCTAGCTACTTGGGGAAGGAAATTTGTCGCGACTACCTATTGGCCCCGCCTTGAATCTCAGCCAATCGGCCTCTCCATCCGGGCTTCTCAGCGCTCGATTTAACCCCGCCCTTCCACCGCAATGCGCGCGCTAATGCCTTAAAAAATGGCTGCTTTGGAAGGGGTTCGGTGGCTCATGCGTTTAGTCTGAGATACTAAGGAGGCAGAGCCCTGAGGATCAAGGTTCGATGCCAGTCCACACAGAAAAGGCCTTTTGAGACTCTTGACCACATCAACAAAGAAGGGGGGCTGTGGCTAAAGTGGTAGAGTGCCAGCGTTGAGCAAAAGAAACTCAGGGACAATGCCCAGGCCCTGAGTTCAAGCCCCAGGACCGGCTCTAACATAAACCAACAATGATAACTTATTTATTTATTGTCGGCCGTGGGGTTTGAACTCTGGGCCTAGGCACTGTCCCTGAGCTCTTCAGCTCAAGGCGAGCGCTCTACCACTTGAGCCACAGCGCTCTTGCTGTTTTTCTGGTGGTTAATTGGAGATCTGTTTCACAGACTTAACTGCCCAGGCTGGCTTTGAACCGCGATCCTCAGATCTCAGCCTCCTGAGTATCTAAGATTACAGACATGAGCCACTGGCCTTCGGCTAACGATGATAACTTAAAAGGGCTGCTACCAACCTTTCTTATAAATGTTCTGTCTTGTCCCAGGAATATTTGCTCCAAAATCACCCTGTCCTGTCTGTCGCCTTTCAGACTTTGCTTCTCTTTTATTTTTATTGTTTATGTGGTACTGAGGGATTTAACCTAGGGCCTCATGCATGCTAGACAAGCACTACCACAAAGCCATATTCCTAGCCCCTATTCCCAGTCTTTCTCTTTTGAGCACATTTTTCCTGATTTTCCCCCCTCCCCCGTGTGTGTGTGTGTGTGTGTGTACTTTTTTTTTTGCTGGTCTTGGGGCTTGAACTCGGCCTGGG